CAAACCACCTATTGAGCTCCAATAGGGGCATACCACGTGGCACATAAATACAACAACAATAGCAAGTCTCCCAACACCTCCCACAATAATCAAACAAATTCATAATAATATATGCACAATATACAATAAAAAAATTCATAATTTTCTCAATAATCACCCAATTAACATGAAGTAACACTAATCACAAATTAAAAGCATGGTTACCTTGTGGCTTTTTCAATAAATTATTCCTTAAAATTTCTCTCTCACCACAATCTTCACCAGTAATACAATCTACAAATAACATATTATTTATAAATATTAGTTTCAATTTTTGAAACTAATAAAATAATTCTAATAATAGAATTAAAAATATAACATAATTCCTAATCTCAATCTTAATACAAATCTATAGTTAATACTATTAAGTATAATTTTTAACTCCTCTTTTAATTATCAATAAACATTAATAATCTAAAAATCAACTTCTAAACTAATTTCTATTATCAAAATTTTCTTTTTATTTCATAAATTCGTACCTAAAATACTCAAAAATTAAAAATTAAGTCTCTAGCTTAGAATCATAATCCTATAGCCATAATAATTCATTTCTCATCCCAAATAATCATCTAAACCTCAATAAATCAACATATATTTTCAGATCTAGTCTAGAATTTGATCCATAAGCCACAAATTCAAAGATCACCAATAAATTTATACTCTAGAATATTTATTATACTACTAACAACCTCAAAAACCATATTTATTCAACATAAATTCATCCCTCTTCCAGATCTTAAATTTTCTACCACTACAAACTCAGAAACAAAAGAAAAAGGATGACTAAGAAAAATTTTAGAACACTTACTTAGTCTTGAAAAGCTTAAAATCACACCCTAAATATCCTATTAAAAACTCTTACCTTAAAACCCTGCACCGGTGAATTTGGCTCACAGATGCTCTCTCTGCCGAAGCTCACGCACGAAAGAAGGAATGAAGAAATGAAGGAACAGGTGAGTTTTTATAAAAATTCAGTGGGTCCCACATTTTTTAATTATTTTCTCTCTCTTCTTCTTCTTTTTTTTTATTATTATTTTATTATTGTTAATGTTGAGGCGGCGGACGAAGCAAATTCGTTTTCTTCTTCTTCTTCCTTTCTTTTTTTTATTATTATAATAATAATTTAATAATATTATTTTATTATTTTTTTTATTTTTTTTAAATTATTTATTTTTTTATTTTTTTTAATTTTCTATTAACCCAAATTAACTATTAAAATTTATATTGGGATATTACAATTCTCCCCTCCTTTTAGAAATTTTGTCCTCAAAATTTAAAATTAGTAACTATTAACTACTCACTTAATCAAAAAGACGAGGATAATCACGTCGCATACTGTCCTCGGTCTCCCACGTAGCATCACCTGGAGTCGTGCCCTTCCAAATTACTTTAACCAATCTAATGGTCTTGTTTCTTAATTGCTTGTCCTTATAATCCACAATCCTTTCTGGTTCAGCTTTGAATGTCAAATTCTCCCTGAGTTCAATTTCCTCGGGTTCAATTATATGGGAAGGATCTGGTTGATACTTTTTCAGTTGTGACACATGGAATACGTTGTGTATTCCAGCAATTTGGGGTGGTAATGCTACTTGGTACGCTACTGGTCCAACTCGTTTTAAGATCTCAAAAGGCCCCATAAACCTTGGTGTCAACTTCTTAGCCTTAATAGCTCTTCCAACACCAGTTACCGGAGAGATTTTTAAAAATACATGGTCACCTACTTCAAACTCAAGCGGTCTTCTCCTCTTATCCGCATAACTCTTTTGTCTACTTTGAGCTGTGAGTAATTTTTGCTTGATTAAAGCAATCTTTTGGGTAGTCTCATCAACAATGTCTGGCCCCAAAACAGTTCTCTCACTTAATTCTGTCCAACACAGTGGCGATCTACATTTTCTTCCATACAATGCCTCATAAGGTGCCATCTGAATGCTAGAATGAAAACTATTATTGTAGGCAAATTCAGCTAATGGTAAGTGACTATCCCAATTACCTCTAAGCTCAATGGCACACGCTCTTAACATGTCTTCAAGAGTTTGTATGGTTCGTTCCGTTTGCCCATCGGTCTGGGGGTGGTAAGCGGTGCTAAAACTCAGACGAGTACCCATGGCTTCCTGTAATGACTTCCAAAAGTTTGATGTGAATCTCGGATCACGATCAGATACAATATTTGTCGGCACTCCATGCAATCTCACCACTTCTCTTATGTAGATTTCAGTTAATTTTTCGAGAGAATACTTGATATTAGTAGCAAGAAAATGAGCTGATTTGGTGAGTCGATCTACGATTACCCATATAGTGTCATGACCAGAAGATGTTCTAGGCAATCCTGTAATGAAGTCCATAGAAATGCTGTCCCATTTCCACTCTGGAATATCAAGAGACTGTAGCATCCCGGCTGGTTTCTGATGCTCAATTTTGACTTTCTGGCAAGTCAAACAACGAGTTACATGTTCAGTTACATCTCTCTTCATCCTTGGCCACCACCAACCACGTCTTAAGTCATGATACATCTTAGTTGCTCCTGGGTGAATGGTATATTTACTCTGATGAGCCTCCTCAAGTAAGATATTTTTCAATCGAGTATCATTAGGCACACACACTCTACCTTTATATCTTACGACATCATCATCGGTCACATCAAAATGTTCAGCCTTTCCAGCCCCAATCTCTACCCTAATCTTATTCAAATAATCGTCCTTCTGCTGCGAAATTCTGATTTCTTCCCAAAAATTATTCTCAAATTCAGTAATATGTAGAGCAGCCAAACGATTTTCGACTACTTCTACATTTACTGCATGAAAACTACTCCATAATTCATGTTCTCTGACCATCATGTGAGCAGTATGTACAAGCTTCCTGCTCAGAGCGTCGGCGACTACGTTAGCTTTCCCTGGATGATACTTCAACTCAAAGTCATAATCCTTCAAAAACTCAATCCATCTGCGCTGTCTCATGTTGAGCTCCTTTTGATCAAACAAATATTTTAAACTTTTATGATCACTGAAGACTTCAAAAGAAGAACCATAAAGATAGTGCCTCCAAATCTTCAAGGCAAATACCACAGCAGCAAGCTCCAAGTCATGAGTAGGGTAATTTTCCTCATGAGGTCTCAACTGTCGAGAGGCATAAGCCACTACTCGATCCTCCTGCATCAATACACAACCTAAACCTTTCTTAGAAGCATCAGTATACAAGGTATAAGGAGCAGTTGGAACAGGTAAGGTGAGCACCGGTGTGGTGGTCAACCTCTTTTTCAGCTCCTGGAATGCAATTCACACTCGTTCGTCCAAATAAATGGAGCATCTTTCCTGGTCAACTTAGTCAAGGGCATTGCAATTTGTGAAAAACCCTTAATGAAACGACGATAGTAGCCTGCAAGACCCAAGAAACTCCTAATCTCTGTCACACTTCGAGGTTGTTCCCATTTCATCACTGCATCTATCTTACTAGGGTCCACCGCTACCCCTTCTTCTGAAACAACATGGCCTAAGAATTTAACTTCTTTAAGCCAAAAATCACATTTGCTCAACTTGGCATAGAGCTTGTGCTCTCTTAATATCTCCAAAACAATTTTAAGATGTCTAGCATGGTCCACCTCATCTCGAGAATAAATAAGTATGTCATCAATAAAGACTACAACAAATTCATCGAGATAAGGCCTGAAGATTCGATTCATATAATCCATGAAGACAGCTGGGGCATTTGTTAACCCAAACGGCATCACTAGGAACTCATAGTGCCCATATCTAGTCCTAAAAGCAGTTTTAGGGATATCCTCTGCTCTAACCCTCAATTGATGATACCCTGATCTTAGATCAATCTTAGAAAACACCGCTGAATTGACTAATTGGTCTAACAAATCATCAATTCGAGGTAAGGGGTACTTGTTCTTGATGGTTACCTTATTCAATTGTCTATAATCAATACACAATCTAAGGCTTCCATCTTTCTTTTTCACAAACAGTACCGGTGACCCCCATGGTGATACACTCGGTCTGATAAACCCCTTCTCTAACAACTCTTCAATTTGTCTCTTCAACTCAGCTAACTCCGATGGAGACATCCTATAGGGTGCCTTAGAAATAGGCCCCGTACCAGGTACGAGCTCAATTGAGAACTCAACCTCTCGTTCTGGAGGCAAACCGATCACTTCAGTAGGAAAGACGTCAGGGAATTCTCTCACTACTGGAATCTGATCTACACCTTCTTCAATCTCTGCCTTGATTGAGAAGAAAATCATAAAAGCTTGACAGCCCTTTCTTATACACTGTTCTACTTGAGCTGCAGACAACAACATAGGACTTTGGGACTCTACAGGGGTTACAGTAAGAGCTGAGAGTGACACACTCTTTTTCTGACAATTAAGTACAGCTCCATTTGCAGACAACCAATCCATCCCCACAATAACATCAATCCCAGACAAAGACAAACAAATGAGGTCTATGGTGGTCTTTCGACCCTCATACTCAACCTCTACATTTAGACATGCCTTAGCAGTCCTTACAGTCAAACCAGCAGGAGTAGAAATCTTCACATCAAAAGGTAAGGTACACACAGGCAATTTACATCTTTTCATACATTCATCAGACACAAAAGAGTGTGTAGCACCCGAATCAAACAAAGCACAAACATCATTATCAAGGATTCGGATTATACCTCGGATAGCATTAGGGTTGTTAGCAGCCTTGGCCCAGAGAGGGCATACACTCGTGCTGGTACTGTAGGTCTCTGATCATTACCCCTATTCTGATTTTGATAGCAGAATCGGGCAATATGACCAGGCTTCTGGCAGATGTAACAAACCCAACAATCACCAGAATGAAACTTCCCACACTTACTGCATGCTTGATTACTAGCAGCACCGGAAGTAGGATTAAAGGTAGCTGGGCTCCTGTAGGACCCCTGACTCCACTCTGATTCCCTCTGTAGCTTTGGCCCTTATGGTAGTAGCCCTTCTTCTTCTGATTTCTAAAGCCTCCAAAGATTTGACTGCTCCTCTTCTCTACTCCACCAATGGGTCTGGTGTGGATAGGGGGCTTCCCATGAGGTTCTTTCCTCCTCTCTCTATCAGCTTCTAATCTAGCCTCTCTCTTCCTCCGAGAAACTATTCGAAGCTTATTGCACATCTCACTGAATGTCTTGATCTCAAAAGGGGCTAACTGTTCCCTTAGATCAGGCCTCGCCTTCTCTAGTAATCGTTCAGCCATCCACTCCGTGTCTTCATGTTTCTGGAGGTAAGTAGAGTATTTAGATAATTCTGAGAATTGTTCAATAAATTCATCCTCATCTAGATCACCCTGACGAAATGCATGAAACTCAGCCTCCTTTTCTGCTCTCAGTGCAGTAGGAAAATAATTCTCGAACAATATGGCTTTAAAATCTTCCCAAGTAAGAGAGGAATCATCCTTCGGTCCTGATGTTTCCCACCATTTCTTAGCACTCTTCTGTAGTAGGAATATTGCCAGCTGCACCTTTTGATTAGAAGTGCACACAACCATACGAAAAATACTCTCCAATTGATCTATCCATTCTTCAACCACCGCTGGCTTAAGATTTCCATCGAAAGTAGGAGGATTAAACTTACGAAAAGTACTCCAGATCTTTGTGATCGTGGATGTCTGTTGGTCAGAGTGGAGACTCACATTCTTCGGACTAGTCTCATGGTGAGAATAAGGAGGTAAGCCTTCATCAGCAGATTGGCTCGCATTGAATACCTTGGTATGGCTTCCTTCTTGTTGGCCATTTCCCTCTCGGTTGTCATTCTCCTTATATTGTCTTAAAGCAGCCAACTCTTCTTCTTGTCTCTTCATGCGGTCACTAAGATTATATAGTAGATCCATCATTTGCCTCATGGTTGGCTCATCCTGCCTTAGTTGTGACTGTATGGGCTCGCCCTGCCCAATTTGTTGCTGTGTGGGCTCCGGTTGTGGCAGTGAAGGTATGTCATTTCCTATTGGCTCTATAGAATCACCGGCAATTTCGCCACCTCTCCTAGTTTTAGACACCATCTCTCCCCTCCTAAAGGATGGAAGTCACATAATTAAGTTAACACTAATCTCAAGACAAGAAAAATAATGGAGAAGTATTATGATTTACTAATGTATATTGCCAATAAACTAGGTTAATGTATAACAATTTCATAATTTATAAGAATTTGAAACATGTAGCTCTGATACCAAAATTTGTAACACACCAAAAAAAATTTTTTTTTAATAATTTAACTCAACCATAGTTGGGTTACAGCCACCCAACACATTTTTATATCAATAATTTCGATATAAAATATTTTATAATTGGCTTCAACTCACACACTATAACATTTCAGATAAATTTTTACCTCCCACATGCCATTAGGCTAAATCACATTTGTCCATCCTTATACTCCCAACAAGTAAACTAAATCACATTGTCCATCCTTATACTCCCAACAAGTAAAATAAGCAATTTAGTCAATTTTCAACACAAGCCAGTTATTTGGCCTTATAATCATGCCATTTTAACCAATTCAAAGTAAACCAAATATTAAAATTACAGTCATTCAAATTGTACCAAAAATAGAAATAGTTTGAAAGACATGATTACATTTATATATTCATATAATTGACAATAAACAAAAAGCCCTAATATTGGCAATATAACACATTATAAATCATAAATTAAATACCCAAAAGAGACAGTGGATCTATACCACTAAGCCTCTGGGACTCCTCCACGTGTCACTCGTGGCTCTTCTCCTGAAAATTGTTAACCACATAATGAGACTCAAAAGTCCCAGTAACCAAAGCCAATTTATGATAGTGTATACAAACAGTTAAGTGTGTGCTTACTAAGTGAGAATTAAAAATAATATAATTCCAACAAATATAAGAAATATTACAATACAACACACAACCATCCTTATATCCCTCCATTAACCTCGAGCCGTAGCCCTCACTCGGTGCTAAATTACCCGGCCAAAGGTAGATTAGCCCGAGCCCTTACAAACCACCTATTGAGCTCCAATAGGGGCATACCACGTGGCACATAAATACAACAACAATAGCAAGTCTCCCAACACCTCCCACAATAATCAAACAAATTCATAATAATATTGCACAATATACAATAAAAAAATTCATAATTTTCTCAATAATCACCCAATTAACATGAAGTAACACTAATCATAAATTAAAAGCATGGTTACCTTGTGGCTTTTTCAATAAATTATTCCTTAAAATTTCTCTCTCACCACAATCTTCACCAGTAATACAATCTACAAATAACATATTATTTATAAATATTAGTTTTAATTTTTGAAACTAATAAAATAATTCTAATAATAGAATTAAAAATATAACATAATTCCTAATCTCAATCTTAATACAAATCTATAGTTAATACTATTAAGTATAATTTTTAACTCCTCTTTTAATTATCAATAAACATTAATAATCTAAAAATCAACTTCTAAACTAATTTCTATTATCAAAATTTTCTTTTTATTTCATAAATTCGTACCTAAAATACTCAAAAATTAAAAATTAAGTCTCTAGCTTAGAATCATAATCCTATAGCCATAATAATTCATTTCTCATCCCAAATAATCATCTAAACCTCAATAAATCAACATATATTTTCAGATCTAGTCTAGAATTTGATCCATAAGCCACAAATTCAAAGATCACCAATAAATTTATACTCTAGAATATTTATTATACTACTAACAACCTCAAAAACCATATTTATTCAACATAAATTCATCCCTCTTCCAGATCTTAAATTTTCTACCACTACAAACTCAGAAACAAAGAAAAAGGATGACTAAGAAAAATTTTAGAACACTTACTTAGTCTTGAAAAGCTTAAAATCACATCCTAAATATCCTATTAAAAACTCTTACCTTAAAACCCTGCACCGGTGAATTTGGCTCACAGATGCTCTCTCTGCCGAAGCTCACGCACGAAAGAAGGAATGAAGAAATGAAGGAACAGGTGAGTTTTTATAAAAATTCAGTGGGTCCCCACATTTTTTTAATTATTTTCTCTCTCTTCTTCTTCTTTTTTTTTATTATTATTTTATTATTGTTACTGTTGAGGCGGCGGACGAAGCAAATTCGTTTTTCTTCTTCTTCTTCCTTTCTTTTTATTATTATTATAATAATAATTTAATAATATTATTTTTATTATTTTTTATTTTTTTTTATTTTTTTAAATTATTTATTTTTTTATTTTTTTTAATTTTCTATTAACCCAAATTAACTATTAAAATTTATATTGGGATATACAATATGCATGATCACACCTCTTTTAGATCCTCCTTATTCCTTTGACGTGAACCTTAGGCTATAACACAGTGGGATAATCTATAATCTAAGATTTTCCTAACCTAAAACACGTATGAGGGATTACCTAGCCAAGGTTTTCCCATCTCACTTATGGAAAACAGTTTCTCTCATTTTCTCACATTATGGGGTGTCATTCTCCCTAGACTAGCTTTCTCATTAAACCAGTGGATAGCTAGTTAGGTACAAGTTCCTCGTTAAATTAGTGGGACAACTCCTCATTGAACAGGTGGGCAATATACATATAACAATCCAAGCAAGCTATCAACTCGGATAGGAGCCTTACCACGTGAATTTAAATCTGTACTCCTCTACCTAGGCGAATTTCCACCTCTTAAGCTCATGCAAAGCATACCTATGCAATAATTCATAGCATGCAAGTATTTCACTATGCAAGCATGCATAAATAACATCATTGTACCCATTGCACCATGATAATCAAATTAAGATGCATAATTCAATCATTGAACTCCTCTTATTTGTTGAATTCCTCAAACATATTTTTCATTAAACTCCACAATAGCATGCACATTCATTAAACTTTTCATAGTACACACAATTATATAACTCCACTCACACATATAGTCATTGAACTCCTCTATTTTCATAGTCATTGTATCTTATACATTCTCAATCGTTGAACTTTATAAATTTGAAAATCATTGAATTACAATAGTTAACTACCTAAGTGTGTTTTTCAAACAAATCATGCCAGATTTGCATTTCAATTAATCTTATACAATTCAATTATCAAATATCAATCAATAAATTAATTAATGTACAAAAGTACAAGATAGAATTTCCCCAATTACATCAAATCTTTAAGAGGTCAAAGGTTTACCCTTTAATTACTCACTCCCTAAGCTTCTTAAAAAGCTTGAATGGTGCCAAAGATAGTCATTCTACAAGCAATCACAATGAAGTTTATTAATATCCACTTTCGGGCCAATTTTCACTAAGAACTCAACACTTCTTCATGCTTGAGGTTCATTTTTTTCTCATATAAAAATACCTATGAGGTTTCTTAGCTTCCTTTAATCTTCATTAATATCATTGAGCTCATTAATGGGACCCTATTGTTCCTAAATAACATATTTATGGTGGATTTTCACATATTTATTTTTTCTCAACCACCAATCCACATAAATCTCGATATATCAAGTTTCTTTAGTTCAATCTAATCTCATTAACTCTATTTAAGTCAATAGATTCAGACCCATAGTTTTTATAGACCAAAAAAACATTATTACCAACCAAATCCTAACTTTCATCACTAAGAAAATGGAAGAAGGAAAAAAGATTTGAGTGTATGAAGCTTACCTTTAATGTTCATGAACTTCAAAATACGCTTAATAGTCAATGTCCTTAAGCCCTAGCTCAATTCTTCAATGCTCTCTTGAATCTCTCCTTTTCTTCTCATTTTTGCGAGCTATAACTAACTTATTTTTAAAGAAAAGTGTCCATGTGCTGCAACGGATGCACAATGCGTCGCAACGCATGGGACATAGAGCATCCCTCCAAGCGTATCAAGACACATGCACCACGACGACCTGATTCACAAGCCACGGCATGTGGCACAAAATCTAACCCTTTAAATTTCTTCCTCTTCTCATCCCCAAGTGACTCGATTCTCCTTCAAACCCGCTTCTAGGGCTGGAATTAAAACCAAACACACCTATTAGGCCTCTCTAATCACACACCTTACTAATACACTTAATTAATCTATTTGGGCTTAATCAATCTGGTTTAAAATCGAGGATGTTACAAAATGTAAGGTATTTTTAAAAACCAACACAAAATTTTAGGTGGAGATGTTATTATAATATTATTAATAATTAATTCAAGTTGTTCTCCACCTTTAAATAACATTTTTTTTGGGCAAATGAATACATTACTCCTTAAACTTTATGTCAATTGATATCATAGATATTGAATTCATTTATTATGCAAATTATTTCTTTAATTTTTGAAAACAATGCAATATGGTCATTGCCATTAATTAAAGTTAAATTTAACTATTAGTTAATCAAAAAATAAGAAAAAAATGACAAAAAATGACTAAACTTTTTTCCACCATTTTCTATAATTTGTGGGTCATTGCCTATAATTTAAGCCCTTTATTATAATTTTTGGTTATTTTTTTATAATTTTTGAGATTCTTTTATCATTTTATGATCAATTAAGGATCAAAATTAACTTTTGTTAATTACATGAGTTATATTGCATTATTTTTAAAAATTGAGAAAATAATTTATATGATAAATAAATTCAAAGTCTATGGCACCTATTGGACTTAAAGTTCAGAAAATC